ATAGAGGGGAATGGGGAGGCAATTGGGGTCCTATGGGGCAATTTGGGGGGTCAGAAGAAGTCCCTGGGGGGTGTCAGGGGGGCAATTAGGACCCCAGGCGGTCCCTGGGGGTCCCTGGGGGACAATTGGGGGGTCCCTAGAGCTCCCAAGGGGGCAATTGGGGACCCAGAGGGACAATTCAGGGGTTCCCTGGGGGTCCCCACAGGGTTTGGGGGATGCTGGGGATCCCAGGGGGTCCCCCTGGCGCCCAGTGGAGATCCCGGGGGGGTTGGGGGTCCCTGGGGTGCCCTGGAGGGTCCTTGGAGGGTCCCTGGTACCCAACGGGGGTCCCTGGGGGTCCCTAGGAGATTTGGGGGTCAAGGGAGGTCCCTGGGGTCCCTGAGGGTCCTGGGGGTCCCTGGGGGTTTGGGGGTCCCCTGTGAGTCCTTGGAGAGTCCCTGGTGCCCAATGGGGGTCCCTGGGGTCCCTAGGGGATTTGGGGGGTCCCTGGGGGTCCCTAGGAGATTTGGGGGTCCCTGGGGGTCCCTGGGGGTTTGGGGGTCCCCTGTGAGTCCTTGGAGAGTCCCTGGTGCCCAATGGGGGTCCCTGGGGTCCCTAGGAGATTTGGGGGGTCCCTGGGGGTCCCTAGGAGATTTGGGGCTCCCTGGGGTCCCTGGGGGTTTGGGGGTCCCTGGTGGCCCCTGGGGGTCCCTGGGGGGCCTCTGGGGGGCAGGGGGTGACCTGGGGGGTCCCCGTTTTCTCCCCCAGGTTTTCCAGCGGCGCATGGACGGCAGCACCGACTTCTGGCGGGGCTGGGACGACTACGCGCGGGGCTTCGGCAACGTCTCCGGCGAGTTCTGGCTCGGTGAGGCCGGCGGGAGGGCCCCGGCGTCCGGGGTGGGGGGGGACCCAGGTGCCCAGGGGGCCCCGGCGTCCGGGGAGGGCCCAGGTGTCCAGGAGGGGCCCCGGCATCCGGAGGCGGGGGGTCTCAGTTGTCCGGAGGGGGCCCGGAGTCCGGGGGAGTCACTCAGGGGGGATCCAGGTGTCCAGGAGGATCTGGGAGGGGCCCCGGCGTCCGGGTGGGCTCCAGTCCCAGGGAAGGGCCCCGGCGTCCGGG